TTTTTTTCTCTTACCCCTGTATAAGACGACCCCCCAACTTTTGGGAAGCTTTTCTGAGGTTAAAAGGTCGTCTTATAGGCCGGAAAATACGGTACTGTATTTGCAGTGACCTGTGTATACGTCGACTCAGGTTTTTTGGGTCAATTTTTTGGCTAAAATTTCTAGACTTATACATGAGTATATATAGAACTTTCTTGCAATGTGCCAAGGATGGATACCATATTAATACCCATTTTTCTACCAACAGGAACCTGGCTGTAGTCCAGTGATTCTCAAACTTTGATCCTCCAGATGTTTTGGATTTCAGCTGCCAGAAGTCCTAGTCAGCTTGGCCAACAGCCTTCTCTGTGGCTGCTCCCAGACTGTGGAACTCCCTGCCATGGGAGGTCAGGTCGGCCCCTTCCCTGCTCTCTTTTTGCTGGCAGCTGAAGACATTTTTATTTAGGCAGGTGTTTTGTGGGTAGATCTTACCTGAGTAATGTGTGTGCTGTTTTAATGTTTAATGATTTTTACTGTCTTAAACGATGCTGTTTTTATTTATGTTTTAATGTTAGTAGCATTTAATTCATTTGTTAACTTTTGTAATCAATGTTTTAGCTTTGTCTTTTTTAATATGCTGTAACCCGACTTGAATCCCACTATGGGAGAAAGGCGGGATATAAATCCTGGAAATAAAACAAACAAACAAACAAACAGTTAGGAATTCTGGGAGCTGAAGTCCAAAACATCTGCAGGACCAGAGTTTGGGAATCACTGCTGTGGTCAATGTCTTCTGGACCAGCACGTCCATGGATCACCACATTAAGTAGTACTGCCCTAGCTTATCCTCTTATCTCACCATGCCCCTTGGCCATCCTATGCTTCCAATGTTGTTCATGGCTCCTCGGGCCCCATGTAACTCTGGCTAAAATCCAGTCTTCCCAAAAGATGTCTCACTTAGTTGATAATCAACAAAAGGCAAGTATAATAATGATTTAGAAAGCAGCTAACTAGTAGGTCAGCCATCAAGCAGCCTCCCGAAGGAACTCTAGCCCAAACTCCAACACTGTGCGGTAATGACAACCAGCAAAAGCTGTGTGAGAGAGCAGAGGATAACATTCATATGAAAAGCAGAAGGGTAAACTTGAGCACAAATGACACTGCTCATGGTTCACTGAATGAACAGTGAAACCCTAGACTCCTTACACTGGCTTACAGCAAGCCTTGAACTGTAAGCTGTAAATGGGTCAGCCAGTTCCACCAATCCACTTTGTGGCTATTCATTCATTTTGCCTCCTAAATGAAACAAATTTTTTGGAAGCAAATTAAGAGACATGTAGGCATTAAAATGCTGAAGTCTGACAAGTAATAAATCCACGCCCACACACAAAAGGAGAAGTGGTTGTTTTTGTTTCAACAGCTGAAGGGCCCTGTGAGCCCTTAAAGATGCAGAAATGTATGATGGCATGAGCTTTTGCAGGCAAAAGCTTATTTTGCGCATCCAATGTGTGCTCTTGCTACAATAAATATGTCAGTATTTAAGATGCCACAGTACAGCAGTTTTTGACAGGCAGCCGTGGCTCCTTCTCATCTTGTAAAATAATTTATTGGCAAGTAAATGATGTGAATTGAAATAGTGGTTTATGCTGCTGCTGCTTTTTAAATAAAGACCATGCTCAGAGGGAGGAAAATTTTGTGCAGGAAAAAAATGAAACTACGCAAATCTTAATCGTTATGTAAATATGGATGATTGTTGCTTAAGTGCCATGGCAATTAATGACAACATTTCTTTATTTTTTCCATAATGTAGCAATCAGCTATTACAACAAACTTTGTCACATTTAATTTTTTAATTAGGAAAGCACAGTAGATTTTGACTCCTATCACAGTAATTAGCATCTATTAATAACTTTTAATGGTAAACTAAAGTTGTGCGATGAAAGAGGAGCACTGATGCACATTCATTAGTCTCAGTATATCAGACACTGAAGCTTCCATTTCCACATTTCAAGCATCTTAATTAAATTTGGAGGCAAAGCAGTAGACAGCTGTATGTAAGCTTGTCCGTGGAGCAGGTGGGAGACCAATTACTGCCCTCAAAAGTTCTACAGGATATTCACTGGATCGATCACACACACACACACACACACACACACACACACACACACACACAGTTTTGTGTGTGTTGTGTGCCTTCAAGTCGTTTCTAACTTATGCCAAATCTATTATGGGGTTTTCTTGGCAAGATTCATTTAGAGGGGGTTTGTCATTCCCTTCCTCTGAGGATGAGAGGGTGTGACCTCCCCAAGGTCACCCAGTGGGTTTTATGGCTGAGCTGGGAATCGAAGCTTAGTCTCCAAAGTTGCAGTCCAGTACTCAAACCACTATGCCACACCGGCTCACAGTTATATAGTTATGTGGAGACAAAGAGTTGCTGGTGGTGCTGCTGTTGTCATATGCCTTCAATTTGTTTCTTTACAGCAACTACAAGGCAAACCTATCATAGAGTTTTCTGGGGCTGAGAGTGTGCGATTTGCCCAAGATTACCCAATGGGTTTCCTTGGCCGAATGGGAAGGTCTGATCTCTAGTTGTAGTCCAACACTCAAACCACTACACCACTCATTTTACAGCCCAGAAAAACAGTGAATGCCACTGTTAGCTGGAAGGGAGAGCAAACCACTCATTTTACAGCCCAGAAAAACAGTGAACGCCATTGTTAGCTGGAAGGGAGAGCAAACCAGTGTCTCCACCAGTTGTCTCCTTGGTGAACCCCAGTTTGGATCCATGCTACCTTCTTAAAATAAACTGAAGAATGGAGTGGGGTGTTGGGAGAATAAACTGGTCTAATCCACTGATTCTCAATCTCTGGCCCTCCAGAGATTTTGGACTTCACCTTCTGGAAGTCCCAGAGAATAAATACATGAATAAATAAACTGTTACATGCTAGTTTGCCTGGCAGGCAAGCCAATTACATACCTGAATGTTCTTTCCTGCTGGTGCTGCACGGGTCATTTTGGGGTGATCTGTGGCCCTAGCTTTATGGCTTCCCTTGGCCCACTTCTCAGAGCGAGTCTTCTGAAGGCTGATGGTGCTATATAGCTGAGAGAGTTTGGGAGAGATGTGTACTCGGTCCTGTCCAAAAGCCCTGATCAACCTGGCTGTGTCAATGGTGGAAACAGAACCACTCGCCTCTGTCCGTGTGGCACTTTCTGTCTCCAGCTGAGTCACCCCTGATTCAGAAGTGTTGTCACTTAACACACTGGAGTCTTTGACAGGCCTCATCTCTGAAGAGGCGTCACTCAGAGTTTCAGGGACCTGGCTCTTCTCTGTGTTTGTATCCATGAAGTCAACAGCTGTGGTAGCCCCAATGTTATGAAGCCTGGATTTTGATAACTGTGCATGGCAGGCAATTTCTGGGCTCTCTTCTATCTTGCTACGGGATACCAAGTTACTTCTATATGCTACTCTTCCTTGGGATCTCATCTTCTTTGGCTCTTTTCCCTTTGCCTCCTCTTGGACATGACTCTGCTCATTCTTGGCAGACACTACTAGTGAGTGTCTAACAGGGTTTTGCAAGAGTCTTGCTAATCGATCAAGTCGCTCTACCAGAGACAACTCATTTCTGCCACTGCTATTAGCATTACGTTGCAGCGGCTGCTTCTGGCGCTCCAAGTATTTAGTCCAGAGTTCATCCAAACTGCCAGTGAAATAAGTGCTTTGCATCACTGGGTGATTGGCCACCTGCTTCTCTTTTAAGCCAGTCCCTTTATTGCCTGGTGAAAGTGGCGTTTTTGCCATTTCATGACCTGTTTTCCTCCTGTCAGGTTGGTCTGGCTCTCTTCTTGGTGAGTCTGTCTCAGAAGGCTTGTTGAACCTTAATCCCTGAACAAAACTGTAGTCTAGTTCAGCAGTCAGTGGGGAAAACTGCTCCTCTCTTTTCCGGTGGTGCAGAGAGAAAGGGACCTGGCTTCTCTCTGTCATTTCCTTGTGCTGGAAGACATCTTCAGAAGAAGAGGCTGGATGTTCCTGTACTGAACACTGCCTCAAGGCCTCACTTCCAGGAAGAAAGTCAATTTCATGCTGCAGAGGCACTGGATGGTGCAAGAAGAATTCACCAGACTTGAGGACTGACTGGGTCGTTTTGACAGATTCAAAGGGGGTTCTGATTTTGGCACTTTCTATAAGGCAAAGAAAAGACAGAAAATATTAGGTATCTCGGGGTCTTTACAGACTGCCAGAAATAATGCAGCTAGACTCCACTTTAATTGCCCTGGCTCAGTGCTAGGGAATCATGGGAACTGTAGTTTATTGTGGTACCAGTGCTCTCTGACAGAGGGCTCAATGTCTCAGAAAAAAACTACAGTTCCCATGATTCCCAAGCACTGAGCCAGGGCAGTTAAAGTGTTCTCAAAGTGCATTATTTCTGCCAGTCTGTAAAGGCCCTCAGTTATCACATTCATCTAGAAAGAAAGAACTACTTGCTCTAAGAATCATTTCCATTCTAAATTCAGCATGCTCTTGCCTGACTAACTCAAGGCATACGTTATACATGCCCACTCTGAATATCCATTTCAACAATATGTTACAAACTTAGAAAACATCCTCTGATTTCAACAATAGTTAAAAATATTCCTGTGCATTCTGGGATGAATACTCATGCCCACTCTGCTAATAAGCAGCGAACAAGCCATATATTTATCCCTCCTTTTAAAAGGAACATGATGTAGCATCTGGCCAAAATGGCCTGGAGACTGGAACATGTTCATTACAAAGGAAGACGTGTCTGCAGGGAATGTTTTAGTAATGCATAACAGAGGTTTATAAAATAATAAATACTATAAAGAACAAAGACTATTTTTCCCTCAAACCATGAGAATATGGGATTATCTCATGAAAAGATTTGCAGTAGGCCAAAGAAATCAGAAGAAGACTTGGACTTCGAAGGGCAGCTATAAAGGAACTAGACAAGATCCTGAAGAATAAAGATATATCACTGAATTAGTATTAGTATTAAAGTTAAATGAATGGAAATTGGTGATTGATTACTAGAAGAAGAAACAGGGAGAAATGTTCCGTTTAAGAGTTGCAGAAAAGTACAGATTGTACTTTTAAGTAGTGTGTCATTTATTAATAACTAACACTACTATTAGAATTTGGTTAATTCTTTATTTTTTTACAGAGATTGAGAAAGTACAATTAACAATTACTGTAGCTGAAACCAAAAACTAGTAGGTTAGAAGTCATTTGTTAAACCCTGTCCTTATAAGGTAGTATAGTACTAGTAGTCGTCTATAGTTTTTGTAGTTGTAGATGTAGAAGCAGATAAACGTTTTTTCTTTTCTTCCTTTTGTTTGTAATATTTGTACTATTTATACAATGGTGTTGCAACCATATATGTGTGTTTTATATTTTGTTTTCATTTGAATAAAAAAGAAGAAGACTAAAGTTAGGTCTATGCCATGGTACTTTCAATTTCTAGGGATGGTTGTGACAGCTAACCAATGAAGAAAGATGATAGGAAGAAAATCAACTTATTTGAAGTGTGGTGCTGGAGAGGAGTACTACGGATACCGTGGACTAGTAAAAATACAAATAAATGGGTCCTAGAGCAAATTAAGCCTAAATGCTCCCTAGAAGCCAAGATGACAAAATTAAGATTGTCATACTTCAGACATATAATGAGAAAACATGATTCACTAGAAAAGACATTAATGCTTGGAGACGTAGAAGACAGCAGAAAAAGAGGAAGACTACATTCCAGATGGAGAGACTCCACCAAGGAACCCATGGCTTCTACTATATGAGGAATTATCTGCCCATGTTGTGCTAGGGATCTCCAAGTTAGATGGCTTCTGAAAGGTATTAAAATAGATTCATCATAGCAAATCTAACCACGGCTATGATGAGAGTTAAAACAGGGCCTTTAACACAGATAACAGAAACAAACAAAGGACTGGCCTGCCTACCAGTGACATTTTTGGCTTAATCCAACAAGGTAATGAAATGTGCTAACTTCTCTCAGAAAAACAAGCTGAAGAAATTAACTCAGAGAAGAACAATTCTGCAATGTAATCAGTTAGTTGTCCATTGCTATGCTCAAGTGAGTATCTTATAATGTTACCATACTGGAAAGGAAATATTCTGAAGCAGGCCTTGGCCTATGGATATATCTACTGGGGATCAGGCGTCAATAAGAAGTCTCTCATCCAGCTGCAAAGAAGCTTGTTTGTTGTTGTTGTGTGCCTTGAGATCATTTCCGATTTATGGCGACCCTAAGGCAACTCTATAATGGGCTAAGCTTGTACAAACCACACATTTGCATTTTTGGTTATAGCCGTAGAATATGGATTACTTGTGTTTGGCTGGGGATTTTCCTGTGACAGAAAAAACAGCTCTTCTTCATCATGACAGATACACATATCTTAGTATTCTTGTTTTCCCAACATTTTTGAGTCCCTCCATCTAATACCAACATTTCAAGGGCTGTGTATGTGACTGCACCGCAACAGTGGATCAAAGCCACACAGGCATTAATTTTTCCTCAGCTTTTTTGTATCTTACTGCACTGAGACTTTTATGTTAAAAAGTATAGCTGGTTATGATTCTATATGCTTATGCAGCAGGCTCGTACATTCTGTCCATGCTTCCTCTCTCTCTAAAGTGGTTTGCTGTTCTGCTCTAATTCTTTTGCTGTTTGACACTGCATTCCACATCTTCTTTCCACTCTTTCCACAGTGTAGAAAAGCTCTGAATGGTCCATTCTGCACTGCTGAAGGAGACAAAAGGAAACACAACACAAAGGACAAATAACGGAGCAAGACCTTGCCACAAACCTAGATTTAACTCTGCCCACACATCATTACTCAGGCAATACTATCACCAGGCCTAACAACACTGCCCACAATATTAGAAAAACTTTCATTTGCTCATCTTCTAATATGATATATGCCATCCTTTGTCAACAGTGCCCCTCAGCATTTCCTATTGGACACAAAGGGCAGACTCTATGCCAGTCAACAAATGGACACAAAGCAGACATTAAAAATGGGATTAAGCAAAAACTGGGTGCAGAACAACCTTCTTGAACATTCCATCCAGATCTCTGAACAGCACTGGCTGTTCAAAGGGAGATGTGAAAGAGAAATAGTTGAGATATATCAAAAACTAGTTCATTGACAGTGATCTGAACAGAGACAGTGGTTTCCTGGAACACTACACATATGATAACACTAGTTGAGATATCTGCTGTAAGTAGGTTCTCATGCTTACCTTATTACATCTCTTCTGGTCTTGAGTCCTTATCTTTACTCTGCACCGAAAATGACATGCACTACTTATTTGGGCTTGATGTAGATCCTGTCACTACCCTTTACTTCCATCGTTAAAACTGAACTTGTC